TTCCCATTCAATTTTAGTCTAATTCAATAATAGTTCTAGGACACAGCTTTCAATATTAATCTTACTAGGCTTATTTTGGTTTAATAACCACATTAGGATACTGATGGATATAAAAAAAAAATACTAACATCTACAGGAACCATAGAACAATGAATTACATTCATTTCCTTAAGTCATTACTAAGATGTTTTTTTTTCTTTGGGAAGGGGTTCACCTATCTTTATGGAAAGTGCAATTTATTTAACCAGAAATATCCCAAAATGTGCATCTATAAACTGATACAATAAAAAAATTGTGATCAAAACAAGAAAAAAAAATACTCATGAGAAATTTGAAATCAGAAACAAAATATATGCATGACCCGAGAATCCATAATCATATCAAAAGCTGTCACAACATTAAAAGTGCTTATACAAAGCAGTCATCACCACAAATCAAATTGTCCATAAACATTTATTTGACAATATGGCAACATTTTTACAATCAAGAAAAGGATTGGAATATTTGGAAAAAGATGTAAAAAAGCAAACTGTCCAATAATGTAGAAGCAAGTTTTCATTTCTCAATTAAAGTACTGTGCTTATCCTGAGAATGAAGATGCATAAAACAAACTGGAACTTCATGAAAGTTTAGAACTAATCTATGAACTCCTTTATCACAATAAGTTTTCTTTTCTAATAAATAAAATAAAAGAGATACTCAAAAACAAGAGGGTAAAAGAAATTGATGTTGGCCCACATAGTATGATTGTCCAATCAAATCATTCAGTAGATATTAAGATTTAAATATAAATATGCTCTAAATTTGGAAGACAATTTTTTCTTCTATTCTCTACTTCACATTATTGCCTAATTATTTTGGACAAATATACACAAAAAGAATCTCAGATATGGCAAAAATTAAAGGCTGAAATTTATATGACTAAAATATTGAAATCAATGCAATACAAACCGTCAAACATCAAAACGAATTAAAACTCAAAATGACAATTCCAAATTCATTATTATAATGTTATAATAAAGTGAATAATAGGTGTGCAATGATTCATGTGTCTATTCTTTCTGTTAGTTGGGTTTACTCTCAGAATCTAATATGGGTGCAAATCTTTTTATAGCTCAATTAGTTTCCAAATATGCTTTTAGTAAAATAATTAACATTTTTCACAATTTACCAATGAAATCAGTAAAATTTACATTTAATATATTTGAAAATAACTGAACATCAATTGTAAAATTAAGACAATTCTAATTTGCATATTCTTAGGCATAATTTAAAGAGAATGTTATCCACATGTATAAAAAAAAAAAACCTAATCTGATTGCAACTTGGTAAAGCTTTATAAAATTACCTACTATACATTACATTGTCAAGTGGGACAGCAATAATTGAAAGTAAACTTTATTTGGATCAATTTATTGGTATCTCATTTTTTTTTAATGAAAAAAAATCTCAAACCGAGAACAAACAAAAAAACGGTTGTATTATTTTAAAATACAATTGATGCCAAATATGCATAAATTGAAGATATTTAAAAAATAAATCAGATGTATTACAAAAATTGAATCTTTAATAAATTTTACCTGCAAAATTATTTTTAACTGATTTTTATTCAATCCTAGTATGTATTGTAAACATTCATAAACTAAACAAGTATTTTATCAATTTCGACAAGTTTCTTCATTCATTTAAACTATTTTTTTTATTTACAAATTGCTATTTTAATAAATTTTTCAACAGGTAAGAAATTTTATTAACCGTTTTACGAAAAACTCAGGCGCTGCGTAAATATTTAAAAGTAAAACTAAATTTTTGTCCGAAAAACAAGATTTTTTTTTTTTTCACTGTTACTATCTCATATCTAAACAAAATATAAAAAAATTCATATGACTTATTCAATATGAATTTATTGATATGAATTTTAATTTTTTCTATATTATTTTTTAAAAAACGTTTTTCTTTTACTAAATAAATGAAATGATGCAATTTTGAAATGAATTATTTCCACGCCGAGTTGCCGCAAACCAGGAATTTTTAAACTTTTAAAAAATTCGCGTAATAGAGATTTTTTTTTATTTAAATGCGATTCCAGGATGAATTAACTACTTCGTTGAAAATTCATATCAGACACAAATACCGTTTTTAATTCAGCAATTCCAAATAGTGTTCATATTGTAATTTGAATCGTGATTTTCATGTCTACAAGAGAAAGTTCACTTAATTTTTTTTTTTGTGGGAGATATATTTCCCGAAAATATTAAATTGTGGAAAGTGTAAATTTTCAAGTTTTGCAAGTAGTAAACTAAACATCTGAATGAAAAGCGAAATGAAATTAACACTATTAATTTAACAGGTTTACATTCGAACATAAATGTTTTTGCAGCCTAACTACACGTTCTCTATTGTAAGTCATCACAAGTTTAAAATGGGATTATTTTTAAATCCAATTACATATTCAACAACAATAATAAAAAAAAAAAAAAAAAAGCAGACAATGTGTATGCCAGTTAAAAACAAGGAAGCCAAAATTTTCCCGCTTCTTATAAATGCATAAGGAAGTGGGAGAAAGGCCAAAAATGTTATAGACTACAGTACACTACCGTCACTACATATAAATATTCTTTAAAACCTGACAGCATCCATTTCCTACAGTAAAGATAAATGATTACAAAACTGTTGAAAACTATGAAAAATAAGTCACTTCGCAACAATTTTTGCAAAAAAAAAACTATATTACTCATATGAACGTGGTGCTTTACTGTTTCCATGGGATCATCAATGATAGCACTGAAAATTTATCGTGTGCTCTTACTAAGAGCGATGAATAGCAAAGCGCTCTAGTCTTCTAGACCTTTTGAGTTCGATTCTCACTTAAATTATTGCTGCGGCGACCCGCAAGACTCAATCAATATAAATATTTTAACTTCCATTTACAATTTTTTTTTATTAATAAAAACTGAAAATAAAAAAACGCTATATTAAAAAAAAAAAGGACAAAGCAAAGGTAAGTTAGAGCAACTCTTTAATAGAGTACCCCGATTTTCAGCGTAACACTTACCCCCACAGAAAAACGCATTGAACATATCAATCAATACGCAAGTTTTTACAGCCTCTCCCAATTTTTTTTATTTATTAAAAGTAACCTGTATTACCAACAATTGTTAGTATACGTTTTTCATTTTGCAATTTTCCTTCCCGACAGAACACTACTAAAATAAAATCTGAAATTATTTGACTTGGCGTTGTAAAGTAAAAAAAAAAAAAAAAAAATTTTTTTCTTCTGAATCGGCTTGATTATTAAACTGGAAAGTATAGGTTGCTGAATTTATGAATAAAATTTTCCGAATCATGCTATATAAAGTGTAGCACATCACATAATGAGATTGAGAATAAAAATGAAATAAGAAACTGGGGAAAATACCAGACCTCCGTTAATATTCGTGTACAAAGTGGGAAAATAGTTTTAATGAAGTGTAAAGAAAACAGTATTTTTGTTGTTTTTAAATAAATCAGTCTTTCTTAAAAAAAAAAAAAATTCAGATTTTTTTTTTTTTTTTTTATTCAGAAAAACAAATGTGAAGTAATCTTTTTAGAAAAACGATTTGATGTAGATTTATCATGCTACAAAAAAAGGTTAGGTAGATGCTGAGTAATTAAATTAATTATGGTACTAAGAAGCTTAGTAGAAAAAAGTTACAAAGAAAAGCTTATTATATTTTAATTTAAGTCTACTAAACTACTATTATTAGCAGATTCGTTTAAAAAGGTTTTAACAAATTGAAGGAACTTTCATTTCGTCAAAAAAAAATTAATTCAATATTAAAATAAGGAAGGTTAATTAAGCATTTAAGAGATGAAGTTAAGGAAAAACAAAAATGAGTTTTTGTATTTAAAAAAAAGTATATATAAAAATGCAAAATCCTAGTTTACTCACGCGGCAATTTTTAAAATTGAGTTACATTTAGAAATTAAAACTTAGGATTTCTATGTTAAATCAGTTTGAAAGTCTTCAAACACCTCAAGCAATTTGAAAATATTCAATATTTTAAAATATATATTGCTAAAATTGTTTTGTTTTTTTTTTAACTGCCATTTTTTTACAATGGACACTGATTGATTCTAAGTTAGCTGTTAGAGTGAAGGTTGCTTTTTGTTTGTTGAGTAATTAAAAAATACTTCAAATAAAATTATATCTTGCACCTTGAGTGTTAAACTAAGAGCAATACATTAGGTATTGGAATTCAATAATTTTAATCTGATTTTAATTTTATATTTGCCGCCGAACTAAATTAAAAAAAAAAAAAAAAAAAAAAAAAATGAATAAGTGAGAATGAGCAATACAATTTATTTTAAAGATTGTTGATAAACATTTGTACGAAGTGCGATAAGGATTAGAAAAAGAAACGATAAACCAAAATAAAACAGGTTTTAAAAGAGGGAAAAGAAAAAGAACCAGGGTAACGTTAGTCAAGGAAAATCAATAGAAAAAAAAAACAAACAAAACCTTTTAAAAACAGGCAAAAGAATCAAAACGAAAATAGGCAATATTGAATGTCAAGACAGATAAAGAGCCAAGATAAAGTTGGGGGTCAATAAACAATATTTATCAAAATGAATGCGGATTGTTTTAATCAATGGACAGGCTTTAAAATTGGAAAGGCAACAAGATCAGAAAAAAAAAAAAAACGCAACACAGGGCGAAAGCTTGCTTTATTATTGTGCGGCTGAAAGAGAAAGCAGGAAAAAAGAAAAAAGGGGGAAAACAGCTTAACATAAAACACAGATTTACAGTCAAATAAGAGCAATAATAGCTTTAATGCTGCACACCGAGACCTGAAACTAGGAAAAAAAAGATCTTTTAAAAGACTGTAAATAATTGAATATGACTACACGGCAAAGAAGAGACCAGCAAACATGGACAAGACTAGAGAAGCAAGGTGTAGTCGTCTCGTCAGTTATGACCGATGCATAAAACATCAATGAACAAATGAGAATAAACTTACTGCTTTCAGCCTGTCTACTAGTTGCGGTTTGCTGCCACTTTTGGAAAGGCCTCTTTTGTCCAACTCCCTTTTCAGATCTATAACTCGCAGGTCATCAACTGGTTTCCCGTCCAAATGGATGTCTTCGTCGTCCGCCATTTTTGTTTGATGTTCACTGTTCGGCAATCTTCGGGAATTTCCGTAATATCAACAACAGGCCAAAAACCGTTAAAACCAACATATTTCGCTCAGATTTTTTTTGTATTTTTTTTAAATTATTTCTTTTTACATTAAATATACAGAATAATCTTTAGATAAAAGAAGCAACTGTTACTTATTTTCTGCATCAAGTGAGAGGGCGTGATTGTTTTGATTCTGATGATGTTTGCTTTGATTTCCTAGTTATTATTTTTTTTCGGGTCTTTAATAGGACAGGGTGGATTGAAAATCTGAATTCTGCTTTAAAACTGAAGGGAAACGAAATCCTTTTTATGTAAAGTAAAAATAATTTTTTTTTTTTTTTTTTTTACATTGTTTTTATCAAAAGTTGTTTTGAATAAGATGTTTTCTTCATTGAGTTTTCAAAAGTGTTAATAATATGAAAGATGAATTCTTTTTCCAAAATATTCTACTTCAAAAATGACTATTTTAAAAGTACATTTTTATTTTTAAAATTACTAATAAAAATATATTCTGCTTTTTTTACATTTATTTTTAGCGCAATGACCTACTACTACTTTGTTTTCTTAATATTTAGAAGTGAAATGTGATTAATATTAATTAAATTAACTGTAGCCGTGGGAGCTTTTTAACTTGTACGAAAAAGTTTAATTATGCTTGAAGTAGGGTAGTATCAGATTCAGTGAAAAAGGGAAGCATCATAAAACTCAGCCAACAACAATAACCCATCTCATAAAGTGAAGTCGCACAGACTAAGAGAAAACTTCGATTGTAACACTGTTTTGCGTGGCTATCGTAGATTTTTTTTACTTGATTTGAAGTTAAATTTGCTTTTTTTTTTTTTAGCGAATCGAATGCTTCATCTCGCAGAGAACCTCAATCCAAACACACAAAAAATGAGTATCACGTGTAAAAAAACAGTGAATCAAAAACATCAATAAAGTAAAACTCAAAAAGGTAATTCTTTTTTAATAAAGTAAAAGTAAAATTCACTCCACATCTCTTCGGCGGTTTATAGTTGCATATAAAAAAAAGTATAAAAAAAAAAAAAAGTATTAAAAAAAAAAAAAGCTTCTGTCGATTTTTCACATATCTTATTCCGAATTAGATTTTTTTCTCTTTTATGATCGTTCAGACTCACTTCATAAAACAGAACAGAAAATTCTTTCATGAGGATGACTGGGGATGTAAAAATAAGCAAGGCAAAGGGACTATTAGAAACACGCTTCTTACCAAAAATTAAATAAATAAAACTAAAAAAGTAAAACAGACGAAGAGACGTCTTCCCCTCTACTTTCAGTTTCATGAATCTTTTTTTTTCTGCTCATAGAAAAGAAAATGTTTTAAAACTTTAAGTGTATTCCCAGGGAAAAATAATTCTGCAGACAAAACAATAAGCTAGCAACATAAACAGTTGTGAGTTGAGTATTAAAAAAGCTTTTTCTTCATTAATAAAGAAGTAATGTCTTTTAAAAGCTGGAAAAAAATAAGGTTAAAAAAAATTCTTTCACCGAAATATCTTTTCAAAAAGGATTTTAAAAAATGAAAAATAGCTAATTGATTGATGTTTAGTTAGAGAACTTATAACAAATGTTCATTTCAAACAAAAACTTTAAAAAATAAGTTTTTTAATGTCTTTTTCAGTTTTGTTAAACTCTTTCTATTAGGAAAAAAAATGACGTTTTGAAAGTATCCATTGCAAGAGCAGAAAATAACTGACTAGAACATTAGTTTGATCACTAACCACCTTTGACAAACGAAGTATTTGGTTTGGGTATATACAGGAAAAATAACTGCTTCCTTTCTTTATCATTTAAAAAACAAAAACAAATATGATCATGATAAAGAAAAATGTAATTTTTTATTCCTGAACGTTTTGCCAAGGATCATTTGTTTTGTTGAAGGTAAGCTATTCATTCATCATATTGTCAGTAACCAGGGTTCGATCCTCTTATGCGCCCGCTTACTTTTTGTGCGCCTACAGTAGAGAGAGAGAAAAAGAAAGTCAAATGCTGGGTTTCTCACGTGTGTTCAAGTCAAACAGGTGCCCCTGTAGTATTGTGCGGAGCGTTTTTAAATTAAAAAAAAAATCATTTTCTACATTCTTAATTTAAATTTCTACTAATGAAATGATTTTTTGTGTGTGGGAGAGTGACTTTAAGAATTGTGGGGATGGATTGGGTTTGTTTGCTGCTTGTTATAGCAAAAAAAAAAAAACTTCGGGGTATTTTTTTTTTCTTACGCATTTCTCAAAAACAAAATATTTTTGAACAAAATTTTGGTTCTTCCTCTTCTAGTGTTTTGTTTTTTTAAGTCTTCTTTGTTAGAGTTTTAAAAGCTGTGTCCAACGTTAAAAAAATTCAACACTTTTTGCTTTGATAACTTCTTAAGAGTTGTTCCTCTTACTTAAAAGAAACATGTTCTGTTTGATGTACACAACGGACATCGCAGATTTTACAAGTTTTTTTAAAAGAATAACTCAATGTCAAAGATTTGTCGATTTGAAAGTTCTTTAAAAATTAAAAGGAACATCCGACAAGTTTGCACTCAAACGGGAAGCATACTATTTCAATGCAAAACATTTACATAAATAGTCTGTTTTTTTTAATTCTTTCAAGTCCAAGACTGACTGCTTGGGTGGAAGAAAGAATCCGTTTCAAGTTTGAAATTTAGTTTGGATTGTATAAGTTTGAAATTTAGTTTGGATTGTATTTATTTTTGAAGTATATGCACCGTTACTTGTCATGCATGTCATCGATCCGGAACTTAGTAAGAACAACTCTTTTTTTTCTTTTAACTGATTGTCATTAGCGCATGTTACGCGTCAATTAATCACAGTTCATTTTTTCTCATAAGAAACAATCGACGAATAAGTTTTAAATGAATTAGAACAAGTTTCATCAAAAGAAAAGATTTACAGCTTAAATATTCCATTTAAAAAGTCTCTGTTGAAGAAATTCTCTAGTTGATATTGAAAGTGGAAATTTTCCCAGCAAAAGATTTGAGTCAACACAGAAGAGAAAACGTCAAACATTGGGTAGAAATGCAGAAAATAGATGCTTAAAAATACGGCAACACCAAATATGTAATTAAACCTACCTTATTGTGTATTGTTTTTATGGAACTGCTAGGTAAACATTTTCATTTATTCTGCGTAAGTCGCCATGATTAGAAGCTAACTTTCGCTAGAACCAACCTTATGCAAAATACGCATGCGCGTTGGTTTGCGGGGAAATATGATTTCTAAGTGTTTTTACGCAAAACAGGAATATCTTGATTTTTTTTTTTCTTTTTCTATTTTTACATATCAGTACTGTAAAACACATTTTAGCACGCAATATAGTATGTTTAACTATCTATTTTTCTCCTGGTATTTTAACCATCAATGCTCTACAATTTTAGTCAAAAAGGTTAAGTACCATTTAAAATTATATTTTTTTAATTTAATAGCTCAGATTAAATTTTAAGAAATTCACCTATCATAAAAGAAATACTAAATAAATGTATCAAACAGAATATGACAATATAAATTTTTGTACTCAAAAGTTTATATTGTTGTATCCTATTTTTTAAAATAGCATGGATATATGCTTTTAGGCAGATAAGAGTGTGTGTGTATGCATGCAAGCATATATGTGTATACATTTACAGGTTGCTAAACACACACATACACACAAAGCAAAATATCTTTCTTTGCTTGTAACTAAATATTTTTTGTGGGTAAATTAAGTTGTCCATAAAGGGCTTGGCGATAACAGTCAAGAACTTTGGCTCCCAAAACTTGAGGCCATACAGGTCTATTGTCAGAAAAATAATTGATTTCAAACAAAGGTAAAGGTAACTTTTCTCTCAAGATCAGTGCAATACTTGTGAAATTTAACAATCTTTTACCAAAAAATTGAAATGGACAGTAGTTTTATTAACCATCTCCAAAGAAGGGAGGTGGAGGAGATGATGTAGTAGAAGTATAAAAAAAAATTCATTAGTCAGTGATATAATAAAATAATAAATAATTAAAAAGTGTAAATAAGTAAACATTAAATAGTCTAGGTTTGTCTTCTACACTTACTTTTGGGAAAAATGTATTAAAAGTAAGCCAGACAGTTTATAAAAAAATTGTTACATTTATGTGTAAAAGTTTTTATATAGAATTGGCTCTAAAAAGGTTGCCAAAAATAAGTCATGGTAGACTCTTGGATCCATTTTTTTTTTTTTTTTCAAATTTAGAAAAATATATTCCCCTTGTATTTTTTTGTCCAATCAAGAGGTGACTTCCACCCAACTAAATTTAAAGTTGAAGCTCGTTTGAGCCACCTTTTAAAATTATATAAGAACACTGGTCAGTGGATGAAGGACAGAAGGGACTTAGATGTGAAAGAAGCCAGCTGGCTGCAGAGAACAGATGGATTTGTGATGTACACATGTGAAAGTCACTAGCTGTTGCTAGGAGAATGAAAGACTAAAAGGTTTTGCCATTCTCAAGGAATACAACAATGAAAAGGCATAAAGAAATTTAAAAAATATTGTTAAAGACCCCAGTGAAGCATGTGGGTAACCAAGCAGAAAGAAAACAGAAAGACATTTCAAAATATAATCCCAGAGATGCTTGTGGGATAATTCAAAGTAGTTTTTTTTTTTTTTGTCTCTCTATTTAAGTGGGTAAAACTTTTTCTAAAGAATAATTTCTTCCATTTTTACAACAGTTTCTGTATCACCTTCTCAAGGTTTATTTTTCATGATCTAAAAAAATGTAATTGTAAATTTTTTTTTAGAGCCAATAATTTCTATAATTTTATGTTATCTTGCCTTGTTCACAAAGATATGCAAAAGGAAATTTTTGTGCCAGCTTTTTTTTGTAAAAATTGTACTGTTATAGTGTTTCATGTCTGTGTAATAAATGTTTGTACCTTTCAAGTTTCACATAGTACTTTTGAGTTTTGTTTGTTACTGTATGTGCCTTTTTTAATATTCAGGACAAGAGAATAGATATTCTGTCTTCTCTCATTCCCTCCCAAGAAAAAAAGATTTTTTAAAAAGATAACAACATAGACATTTCAAAAGTTTATATATGAAGAGCTAAGGTTATTGAAGAGTTCTCTGTCTTAATCATTTTCAAATATCTAACAGTTTGTTTAATGCTTCTTGTGTCTAGAAGTTTTGTTTTTAAGCACTCTCTCTTACAAACTAATTTACATGGAAGTTATTTGCCCAGCACTGTTAACAAACATTAAGCATAATGGTAGTATAGACAGATATGAAGGATGAGAAAAATTCCTTGGCCTGACCTGCTTCCTAAAATGATAAAAGATTAAGCCTTTTCAGAGAGTTGTTTCTTTGGTCAGGTCAAGAACTTTCCTTTCACTAACCTCTTGTAGATAGACATGAATAGTCTGGGATAAATATAAATAGACACTGTGACTCGTGTGTATTTTACAAGTAAAATCTACAATTAATTTTTAATAGTATGGTTAAACTTACAAATGTTGGATTACTCCACCATACTCTGCTAATGCCTACTAGATGGCATTGTAAAAAGCAGTATAAAAGAAAAAGAGACATTCTTTCTCTTCAGCCACATAATGGTGTAAGAACAAAATGTTTCTAGTTCCTCCTCTGGAGGATTCTTAGTCCCCAGTAAACCATGTGTTGCAGATAAGACTATCATTACATTATCTGTTTAAAAAAAAAAAAAACTCATGACTACAACCTATTGCGCACACACACACACACACTATATATATATATATATATATATATATATGGTTGCAAGAATCACTTTTTTTGCAAGGTGTAGATGTTTTTCAGTAAATATTTAATGGCTCCTGTTACATTTGTCCCACGAACAATATTTGGCAGACTCATGTAAGTCTGGGCAAAAATAAGACAAAAATATGGAATTTAAAGAAATGATACTTAAATGCATGTATTAACAAAAGAAAAAAAAACATTAATGTGTACACAGTTGAAAGGAAAAAACTTAGCTATTAAGATTGTGCTTGTTTGTGAGTGTGATACAAGCATGTGATACACGCGTGTATGTGCATGTGTGTGAAATTCAGTCATCAGCTGACCAAAGAAATGAATGTGTCTCAGCAGGGATGTTATCATCTACAATATGCTACATCTGGAAGAGGAAGAAGGAAATGTTTGTCTTTTTATAGACTTAAACTGCACCACCTAACATGCATTTAGCAAAGTGGGGGTAACCCACAATATATATATATATATATATAGTAAAAGTAACAAATCCGTTGGTAAATAATCCAAGTGGATTCTAGTAATATAAAATACTAGCAGTAGAGCCCTGCGTTGCCCGGGAATGTAACAGTAAGAGATAGATCAAGTATCGACCATCATAAAGACTGAAAAATAAAATTGACAAAGATTATTGTTTAAGGTTGACGGACACGCATGTCTTAATTATTTTTTTTTTTCGAATTGGTCAAACCCAAACTCAAACAAAAACATTGTTTTCAATCGTTATGAGTCTACCGATTGAATAGAATTTTATTATAAACAATTGTCCCGTAAATGGAATTTTTAAAGCATTCTGAATGTAAAAATAAAGAAAAAAGTGTGCAAGACAATAAGAAACACTACCTGCCAAAAAAAGTGAGGTTATGTTGAAATCGGTTGAAAAATGTAGGAAATCCGATCCCATATATAAACGAACACACACACAAAAACAACCTGGGTTTTATAATAAGTATAACTCGAGATGAGTTGTCCCCCTTTCATTCTAGTGACCGAATCCTGTTTTATCGTGTTTTCAAATTGATTTTGTGCAAAAACAATTGTGTTTTTTCCAATTTTGGGCGCCGTCAGAACCACCGCAAGGTAATTTTACGCAGTCCTGTGAATTTTCGTTGAAATCGGTTGAAAAATGTAGGAAATCCGATCCAATATATAAACGTACAGACACACACACACACACACACACACAACCTGGGTTTTATAATAAGTAAGATTAAAACTGATCCACAAAAAGAGCTCAATGTATTTATAAATAAATAATAGAAATAAAAAAGTTGGAGCTGATTTGATATGAAGAAATAATTTAAGTAATTCTATTACATTTACTTGATTTAAAAAAGAAATATAGTCTATTAGTAATTAAGAGTAAAAATATTTTAAAATTGTAGTTAAATATAATGTATTCCAACCCAAACACCTCTTTTAGAAAGAATCTTTAAGTATACAAGTATGAAAAAAAAAATACCGAAAAACTTTTTGTTGTTAATAATAATAAAAAACCCAGACGACATGTGTTTAACGGATGTCAGAATTCATTGAAAAATACACCCCTACCCTCCTTAAACTTAACTTGTTTTTCGAACATAACTCATAATTGATACAACAATAGTTAATAAAAATGAACATGCTACCACCCCTGTCTGAATGATCGGATTTCTCTGTATCCTTGGAAACAGGAAATTATGAATTTATATGTTCGTTTAGAACTCAGTAAATTTAAAAATAAGTTATTCCAAAATTCGCTTGAAGATGAAACACAATGCTTTTAATTTAATTATATAATTAAATTTGAAGTTTTTAGCTTCGGTTTTTGAAACATGGTTATTACTGTGTAGCAAAGAAACTATATTTTAAATCAGTTAATTTATCATATTTATGCTCTGTAAATTTACATTGAGCACTGTTTTGTAAAAATAAAAATAAAAAATATCAATAAGAACATCGGATTATATATCTTATTGTTCTTTCTTTTTATTTTTATATATATATATATATATTTCATCCTACTAACACAAGAAAACATCCCTTTTTAAAAAACCTTACTTAAAAACTGGTAACCTAATACCATTACATATGTTTGGTGCAAAAAGGCATATTTGGGAAACTGGTTTTATGACTAAGTTAGAACTACCTAGATAGAAATTCAAAAGATATCATTTTTTTATTAAAGGATTGCTTCTTTTCTTTTCAGATCTAAGATTGAAAAGAAAAGAAGAAATCTAAATCATTGCACAACCCAGAATTGAAACAAGAAATGTGGAAATGTTTGTTAAAACCAAAGAATTTCAGCTTTTATGTCCTCTACATGAGACTTTAATGAAAATTTCATCACTTCTACAATTCTTATATAAAGGAACATATATTTCAGTTTTATCATAGACATCTAAAGTTTTTTTCTAACTCTATTTAATAATGGGAAAGACAACAATAAAGTAAGTAAACTATAGAAAATACCTCACTTGTTGGCTATTGTGGTATACGGGGGCTTTCTTGATTCAGCAGCAGCAATGAAAGCAATCAGCAGGGTATGACCAGAAGTCCAAAAACCCATAAAATTACTGACAGAGCCCTATTTGGCCTCTTTCCTATCTTCTTTTTCAGCAGCCTCTACCTTCATGCCTAACTCAAAGTGCTATTCATAGCCCTTTCTGCAGAAGACACGTGGCCCTGTCCTGGCAGCTTGACTTCAGATCTCTTATACTTTTTGGGAACAGGCAGAGAAATCTCCCTCTGAGATACCTGTCGCAGTGTGCCCAAACACCACTCCCACCTTTTCTTAAACAACCCCGGATATGCCTGCCGGTAGAGAAAGGTCACGACCCTTGTGTGCTAAAAATAGCAACGACATCCTTTCAAACTGACAGAAACACACAAAGCTCAATTTTCGCCACTAAACAAAAAAAAAAGACCTTTAATTTCGAACCGAAATTAATTTAAATACAAACACCGAACACACTTTTGACTGTAATTAATACGGCCCGAAATTAATTATATTCATTTACTTGTTTAGCGTCACCGCTTCTCTTGTATGAACTGTCATATCTAGATGCCTGAGACTTGTTGCAGCGGGGCCGAGAGAGGTGGAGTGCTGGAAGCTGCAGGAGTGAGCTGAAAGCGGCAGGAGTGAGCTGGAGACTGTTGGAAGCTGCAGGAGTGAGCTGGCGTCTCAGAGGGAAGGCAGTAGCAAAGAGTGGAGTGAGTGGAGCCTTGAAGAGTGGTGATCGAATGACTTTCGGAAGTTAGCCCTGAAAAGAACTGTTTGAACAACTGCTGCTACTACTGCTGGGTCCCGTCAGCTGCTGGGCTTGGTCGACTTGACTGGGCGCGTCAAGGTCGCGAATCAGGAAGGCTTCCTGCTCCCTGGCCTTCCAGTAGATGTCGGAAGTGTTTGATGGCGAGGTATATAGCCAAAAGTTCTTTCGAGAAGGTGCTGTATCTGGACTGGGCTGGTGATAATTTAGCCGAGAAGAATGCGATGGGTTTGCGTTGGTTGTCAAACTCCTGTTCTACCACAGCTCCAACTCCAGTGTCTGAGGCATCTGTTGTTAGATATGTCTGAGTCCGGGTATCTTCGTTAAGATGTGCTAACTTCGTAAAGTTAGCTAAAAAGTCTTTTTGCTGCTTGGAATGATTTTTCCTGGTCGCCCTCCAGGGTGATCGCTTTGTTTTTTCTCTGGAGAAGATTTGTCAGGGGGTGAGGAGTTTTGAGCATCCGGGATAAACCTGCGGTAAAAATTTACCATCCCCAAGAAGCGTCGCAGTTGCTTTATCGATGTGGGCATCGGGAAATCCTGTATGGCTTTTATCTTATCGGGAAGTGGAGTGATTCCCTGAGCGTCTGTGTGGTGTCCGAGGAAGTCTATGTGTTGTGCACCGAATTCGCACTTGTCTGGGTTGATTCGGAGGCCGTAATGTGTTAGACGGCGGAACACTTCCTCCAGGTGTTGTTTGTGGAGATCAGCGTCTCTGCTAGCCACTAGGATGTCATCAATGTATGCTTAGACGTATGGTAGTCCACGCAGAACTTCGTCCATCAGCCTCTGAACGTCTGGGCTGCGTTGCGCAGTCCGAAGGGCATTTTAGGAATTCAAACAGTCCAAAAGGGGTTGTGACTGCTGTCTTTGGGATGTCCTCCGGAGCAACTGGAACTTGGTAGTAGGCTTTGGTCAGGTCAATTTTTGAGAAAATGCGGGCCCCTGTAAACCTGAGGCAAAGTCGTGGATGTGCGGAACAGGATACCGGTCGGGTACTGTGGATGCATTGAGTTTCGGTAATCCACGCAGATCCTGAAATCCCCGTCGGATTTGGGTACCAGATGCAGTGGTGAAGCATATGGGCTGTCTGAGGGTCGGATGATATTGTCGGCCAGCAACTCCTCAAACGCTTTCTTGGCATATGCTAAATTGTGTGGAGGGAGTCGTCGTGGCCGTGAATATGCTGGTTGTCCGGTGGTCTTTATATGGTGTTGGGTCTGATGGTCGCCTGCATCAGTTGGTTTGATGGGTTGCGTGAGGTGTTTTGTACCGGCGCAGGATTTCTACGTAGTGGGGGTCGTGCTGTGTTGCCACGCTGATCCTAGTTGTGTTGAAGCTCGATGGGATCCCTGTGATCTTGATGGTTGTCATGTTGTCGGACAGGATCCTTGTCTTCATATGGACAGCCAGGTTGTAATGTGCCAAGAAGTCGGCACCGAGCAAGGGTGTCCTGACGTCAGCTACGGTGAATGACCACTTGAAGTCGCGCCCGAGGTTGATATTTAAAGTAAGTTCCTTGTTCCCATAGGTTTCTATGGTGGAGCCGTTTGCCGCTCGAAGTTGGAATGGGGTGGGTTTAAAGGCGGATCTGTTGGTGGGTGGTATTACGCTGATGGCTGCGCCAGTGTCAACTAGGAATTTGAGGCCATTGTTACGGTCCCACACGTAGAAGAGACGACTGTGTGAGCGAGTACCGACAGGGATCGTCGTCGCTGCCTGTCGGTCTATTCGTTTTCCTGGGCCTTATTGCGTCTGCAGGGAGGGTAACACTTGCAGGCTCGGTCACCGAAGGTTTGGTGGTACCAACATTCGTCCACACTGTTTCTCTGTCCTGGACTTGAGCTACGGGTACGGCTTCGATTTCGCGTGCGTGGTGCTGGGCTTCGCTGCCTCCGGCATAGGGAGAGTTTCAGGTCTCTCAACTCTGCGCGTAGCCGGGTCATCTCCTCTTCGAGGCGTTGTGTGTGGTTTCCGTGGCTCTCAACCTGGTGAACTTTTTGGTGAGCCTGGGAGTATATTTTGTCGGCTGAGTCGGCCACAACGTCAAGGGGCGTCTCTACTGATACCAGGGCTAGAACTTGTGTTATATTCGGTGGTAACTGATCCATCCATAGCCCTCGGAGGATGGGTTCTGCCATGGTGTTGTTCCCGAGGCGGCTCTTCATCAGGCGGAGGAGCTGGGATGGTGTCCTGTCGCCGAGAGACACATTAGAGAATAAGTCTCTGATGTGGTCTTCGTCCGAACGTCCAGTTCGTTTGAGGATGGCTTCTTTGAGGCAGGTGTATGGGAGTTGGTCCGGAGTATTGAGAAGGATGTCTTCCACTTCTTCAACGATTGATGCTGGTAAGGCTTGTACCACGGAGGCGTATTTAGTGTCCTGTCGTGTGACCTTTCGTGCTGAAAATATCGCCTCAAGTTGAATAAACCAACACCTGGTGGTGTTGATCGAGTTGTATGGCGGTAGTTGTATCAGGGCGGCTGATGTGTTGATTTCTGTTTCGGTGTGTTCCGCTATCTTCTCTGCTAGCCGTTTGCCTGTGTCCATAATTCACGTCGGGGTCACCACTTGTTGCAGCGGGCCGAGAGGTGTGAGTGCCAATCGACCGTACAACTAAAATAGGGGACACAAAGGCAAGGAGATGGCAATAGCAAAGAAGGATGACAAACGCAGATGGTCCGTTGTAGACGATGGAAATCGTGTCTTTATTTGGGAACGGTGTCCGGACGTTAACGGGCGCTGGACGTCAGTGGGCACTGGATTAGATCGTCAGCGGGTGCTGGAATAGGTAGCGGGACGTCAGTAGAGCGCCGCAGGGGTGAGCTGGAGGCCGCTGGAAGCTGTTGGGGTGAACTGGAAACTGCAGGAGTGAGCTGGAAGCTGCAGGAGTGAGCTGGAAGCGGTAGGAGTGAGCTGGAGACTGCTGGAAGCTGCAGGAGTGCTGGAAGCTGCAGGAGTGAGCTGAAAGCTGCAGGAGTGAGCTGGCGTCTCAGAGGGAAGGCAGTAGCAAAGAGTGGAGCCTTGAAGAGTGGTGATCGAATGACTTTCGGAAGTTAGCCCTGAAAAGAACTGTTTGAACAACTGCTGCTACTGCTGCTGGGTCCCGTCAGCTGCCCTATTTGGCCTCTTTCCTATCTTCTTTTTCAGCAGCCTCTACCTTCATGCCTAACTCAAAGTGCTATTCATAGCCCTTTCTGCAGAAGACACGTGGCCCTGTCCTGGCAGCTTGACTTCAGATCTCTTATACTTTTTGGGAACAAGCAGAGAAATCTCCCTCTGAGATACCTGTCGCAGTGTGCCCAAACACCACTCCCACCTTTTCTTAAACAACCCCGGATATGCCTGCCGGTAGAGAAAGGTCACGACCCTTGTGTGCTAAAAATAGCAACGACATCCTTTCAAACTGACAGAAACACACAAAGCTCAATTTTCGCCACTAAACAAAAATAAAAGACCTTTAATTTCGAACCGAAATTAATTTAAATACAAACACCGAACACACTTTTGACTGTAATTAATACGGCCCGAAATTAATTATATTCATTTACTTGTTTAGCGTCACCGCTTCTCTTGTATGAACCGTCATATCTAGATGCCCGAGACTTGTTGCAGCGGGCCGAGAGGTGTGAGTGCTGGAAGCTGCAGGAGTGAGCTGAAAGCGGCAGGAGTGAGCTGGAGACTGTTGGAAGCTGCAGGAGTGAGCTGGCGTCTCAGAGGGAAGGCAGTAGCAAAGAGTGGAGTGAGTGGAGCCTTGAAGAGTGGTGATCGAATGACTTTCGGAAGTTAGCCCTGAAAAGAACTGTTTGAACAACTGCTGCTACTACTGCTGGGTCCCGTCAGCTGCTGGGCTTGGTCGACTTGACTGGGCGCGTCAAGGTCGCGAATCAGGAAGGCTTCCTGCTCCCTGGCCTTCCAGTAGATGTCGGAAGTGTTTGATGGCGAGGTATATAGCCAAAAGTTCTTTCGAGAAGGTGCTGTATCTGGACTGGGCTGGTGATAATTTAGCCGAGAAGAATGCGATGGGTTTGCGTTGGTTGTCAAACTCCTGTTCTACCACAGCTCCAACTCCAGTGTCTGAGGCATCTGTTGTTAGATATGTCTGAGTCCGGGTATCTTCGTTAAGATGTGCTAACTTCGTAAAGTTAGCTAAAAAGTCTTTTGCTGCTTGGAATGATTTTTCCTGGTCGCCCTCCAGGGTGATCGCTTTGTTTTTTCTCTGGAGAAGATTTGTCAGGGGGGTGAGGAGTTTTGAGCATCCGGGGATAAACCTGCGGTAAAAATTTACCATCCCCAAGAAGCGTCGCAGTTGCTTTATCGATGTGGGCATCGGGAAATCCTGTATGGCTTTTATCTTATCGGGAAGTGGAGTGATTCCCTGAGCGTCTGTGTGGTGTCCGAGGAAGTCTATGTGTTGTGCACCGAATTCGCACTTGTCTGGGTTGATTCGGAGGCCGTAATGTGTTAGACGGCGGAACACTTCCTCCAGGTGTTGTTTGTGGAGATCAGCGTCTCTGCTAGCCACTAGGATGTCATCAATGTATGCTTAGACGTATGGTAGTCCACGCAGAACTTCGTCCATCAGCCTCTGGAACGTCTGGGCTGCGTTGCGCAGTCCGAAGGGCATTTTTAGGAATTCAAACAGTCCAAAAGGGGTTGTGACTGCTGTCTTTGGGATGTCCTCCGGAGCAACTGGAACTTGGTAGTAGGCTTTGGTCAGGTCAATTTTTGAGAAAATGCGGGCCCCCTGTAAACCTGAGGCAAAGTCGTGGATGTGCGGAACAGGATACCGGTCGGGTACTGTGGATGCATTGAGTTTCCGGTAATCCACGCAGATCCTGAAATCCCCGTCGGATTTGGGTACCAGATGCAGTGGTGAAGCATATGGGCTGTCTGAGGGTCGGATGATATTGTCGGCCAGCAACTCCTCAAACGCTTTCTTGGCATATGCTAAATTGTGTGGAGGGAGTCGTCGTGGCCGTGAATATGCTGGTTGTCCGGTGGTCTTTATATGGTGTTGGGTCTGATGGTCGCCTGCATCAGTTGGTTTGATGGGTTGCGTGAGGTGTTTGTACCGGCGCAGGATTTCTACGTAGTGGGGGTCGTGCTGTGTTGCCACGCTGATCCTAGTTGTGTTGAAGCTCGATGGGATCCCTGTGATCTTGATGGTTGTCATGTTGTCGGACAGGATCCTTGTCTTCATATGGACAGCCAGGTTGTAATGTGCCAAGAAGTCGGCACCGAGCAAGGGTGTCCTGACGTCAGCTACGGTGAATGACCACTTGAAGTCGCGCCCGAGGTTGATATTTAAAGTAAGTTCCTTGTTCCCATAGGTTTCTATGGTGGAGCCGTTTGCCGCTCGAAGTTGGAATGGGGTGGGTTTAAAGGCGGATCTGTTGGTGGGTGGTATTACGCTGATGGCTGCGCCAGTGTCAACTCAGGAATTTGAGGCCATTGTTACGGTCCCACACGTAGAAGAGACGACTGTGAGCGAGTACCGACAGGGATCGTCGTCGCTGCCTGTCGGTCTATTCGTTTTCCTGGGCCTTATTGCGTCTGCAGGGAGGGTAACACTTGCAGGCTTGGTCACCGAAGGTTTGGTGGTACCAACATTCGTCCACACTGTTTCTCTGTCCTGGACTTGAGCTACGGGTACGGCTTCGATTTCGCGTGCGTGGTGCTTGGCTTCGCTGCCTCCGGCATAGGGAGAGTTTCAGGTCTCTCAACTCTGCGCGTAGCCGGGTCATCTCCTCTTCGAGGCGTTGTGTGTGGTTTCCGTGGCTCTCAACCTGGTGAACTTTTTGGTGAGCCTGGGAGTATATTTTGTCGGCTGAGTCGGCCACAACGTCAAGGGGCGTCTCTACTGATACCAGGGCTAGAACTTGTGTTATATTCGGTGGTAACTGATCCATCCATAGCCCTCGGAGGATGGGTTCTGCCATGGTGTTGTTCCCGAGGCGGCTCTTCATCAGGCGGAGGAGCTGGGATGGTGTCCTGTCGCCGAGAGACACATTAGAGAATAAGTCTCTGATGTGGTCTTCGTCCGAACGTCCAGTTCGTTTGAGGATGGCTTCTTTGAGGCAGGTGTATGGGAGTTGGTCCGGAGTATTGAGAAGGATGTCTTCCACTTCTTCAACGATTGATGCTGGTAAGGCTTGTACCACGGAGGCGTATTTAGTGTCCTGTCGTGACCTTTCGTGCTGAAAATATCGCCTCAAGTTGAATAAACCAACACCTGGTGGTGTTGATCGAGTTGTATGGCGGTAGTTGTATCAGGGCGGCTGATGTGTTGATTTCTGTTTCGGTGTGTTCCGCTATCTTCTCTGCTAGCCGTTTGCCTGTGTCCATAATTCACGTCGGGGTCACCACTTGTTGCAGCGGGCCGAGAGGTGTGAGTGCCAATCGACCGTACAACTAAAATAGGGGACACAAAGGCAAGGAGATGGCAATAGCAAAGAAGGATGACAAACGCAGATGGTCCGTTGTAGACGATGGAAATCGTGTCTTTATTTGGGAACGGTGTCCGGACGTTAACGGGCGCTGGACGTCAGTGGGCACTAGATTAGATCGTCAGCGGGTGCTGGAATAGGTAGCGGGACGTCAGTAGAGTGCCGCAGGGGTGAGCTGGAGGCCACTGGAAGCTGTTGGGGTGAGCTGGAAACTGCAGGAGTGCTGGAAGCTGCAGGAGTGAGCTGGAAGCAGTAGGAGGAGCTGGAGACTGCTGGAAGCTGCAGGAGTGCTGGAAGCTGCAGGAGTGAGCTGAAAGCTGCAGGAGTGAGCTGGCATCTCAGAGGGAAGGCAGTAGCAAAGAGTGGAGCCTTGAAGAGTGGTGATCGAATGACTTTCGGAAGTTAGCCCTGAAAAGAACTGTTTGAACAACTGCTGCTACTGCTGCTGGGTCCCGTCAGCTGCCCTATTTGGCCTCTTTCCTATCTTCTTTTTCAGCAGCCTCTACCTTCATGCCTAACTCAAAGTGCTATTCATAGCCCTTTCTGCAGAAGACACGTGGCCCTGTCCTGGCAGCTTGACTTCAGATCTCTTATACTTTTTTGGGAACAAGCAGAGAAATCTCCCTCTGAGATACCTGTCGCAGTGTGCCCAAACACCACTCCCACCTTTTCTTAAACAACCCCGGATATGCCTGCCGGTAGAGAAAGGTCACGACCCTTGTGTGCTAAAATAGCAACGACATCCTTTCAAACTGACAGAAACACACAAAGCTCAATTTTCGCCACTAAACAAAATAAAAGACCTTTAATTTCGAACCGAAATTAATTTAAATACAAACACCGAACACACTTTTGACTGTAATTAATACGGCCCGAAATTAATTATATTCATTTACTTGTTTAGCGTCACCGCTTCTCTTGTATGAACTGTCATATCTAGATGCCCGAGACTTGTTGCAGCGGGCCGAGAGGTGTGAGTGCTGGAAGCTGCAGGAGTGAGCTGAAAGCGGCAGGAGGAGCTGGAGACTGTTGGAAGCTGCAGGAGTGAGCTGGCGTCTCAGAGGGAAGGCAGTAGCAAAGAGTGGAGTGAGTGGAGCCTTGAAGAGTGGTGATCGAATGACTTTCGGAAGTTAGCCCTGAAAAGAACTGTTTGAACAACTGCTGCTACTGCTGCTGGGTCCCGTCAGCTGCTGGGCTTGGTCGACTTGACTGGGCGCGTCAAGGTCGCGAATCAGGAAGGCTTCCTGCTCCCTGGCCCGCTAAAAACCGCTGCGAAGTCTCGGGCATCTAGATATGACTGTTCATACAAGAGAAGCGGTGACGCTAAACAAGTAAATGAATATAATTAATTTCGGGCCGTATTAATTACAGTCAAAAGTGTGTTCGGTGTTTGTTGACTGTATTTAAATTAATTTCAGTTCGAAATTAAAGGTCTTTTATTTTTGTTTAGTGGCGAAAATTGAGTTTTGTGTGTTTCTGTCAGTTTGAAAGGATGTCATTGCTATTTTTAGCACACAAGGGTCGTGACCTTTCTCTACCGGCAGGCATATCCGGGTTTGTTTAAGAAAAGGTGGGAGTGGTGTTTGGGCACACTGCGACATACCTACCCAAAGGAAAAACTACACACAACCCTTGCTGCAGAAGACTTGTACTAGTTCTAGTAGTTTTACACTCAGATTTCCCATGGAAACAAGTGGAGAAATCTCTCTCTACAAAACATCTACCAAAGAACTTTGTTAACTGGAAAACCCCACTTTTTTTTCCTACAAAATACTACTATTTTGCACTCTCTTTCAACCAGAAATAAAAGCTGTTGAACAGTTATTTTAAGCCTTGGATTTTGTTCATTCCACTTTCACTGCTAAGCACACACAGACACTCACACACGCAACCGGGATAAATTCTTATAAAACTCCAACTACTATTTATTAATTTTTCTTACAACTTAAGATTTTCCAACACATTCTAATGACAGACTCTTTTTGTGACTAACATACCAGTGAAAATATGCAATCATTCATATCAAGTTTTAATCTCATATTTTTGTTATTTTTCATCTTTGTTTTATATATTAAACTAGAATTCGCCATGCATTGTATTTGGCTCTATCCACAATATATATCAACATTTGTATTTGTCAGAGTGCTGCTCCCTGATGATAATCACAGACAGCACAAGATTTCTAAGCTTATTTCTCTCACTCATGTAAGAGAAAATGTAAAGACCTCAGACATATACTGAAGGTTGCTTTGAACTCTTCACAACTTTAACTTCATTTCTCATTCTCCTTTTTGTAAAATGTCCACTTAATATATTTCTTAATACTTGTTTGTTTAAATTCTATGATTTTGTATCTTATTTTTGCCCAGATTAACATGAGTCCACCAATATTATTTGTGGAACAAATAAACCAGGAGCCCATAAATATTTGCTGAAAAATGTCCACACCTCACAACAAAAGTGGTGAGTCCCTCAACATATTATATAAAGCCAATATATAAATATGTTACCATTAAGTATTATATAAATCCAATCTTAATTTCTAGATTGGTTGATATTAATTTCACTGTTTAAGAAACTGGGATATCTAATCAAACCCACTAAATATGTCTATATGAATTCTGGTGCGCTCTTTTTAGGAAGGTTTTTATCACTGCTATTTTGTATCCGAATGGGAATTCACTTTTAAAGTTAAAGTGGCAAGAGTTTCTGCTAGTGGTTTTTTTATATAACCACCTTATAGAACACCAAACTAGACTATTTCTCCCCAAAGTAAATAACAATGATAGTGAACCTTGAGTCAAAAATGACATAAATATTTTCTACAAAAACCAAATGCACATTAACTACAAACAAGATGAATCTTCACTTAAAAATATTATAAAGAAATACACTACCCCAATTGACCCAAATAAAAAATAACGAACAAACATTATCTATGAGTTCAAATGCACCTTAAGGAACTGTTTCCTGATGAAACCATATTCATAAATAATTACATTGGTCACACAACTGCATGCCTATCCAGACACCTTACGTTACACCTATCTGACCACAGCTCTATTAGATCCCATTTGAATACACACATAAACTTACCAGAAACATACATATGAAAAAAGATTAAAAATAATGGAAGCCTTAATAATAAAAAAGAAAAAGCCAACACTTAATAATATTAACTATGAACATAGCCACAATATGCTGTGTTTGGAAAATAAAACATCTCTATAACATTAAAAACATACACACAACGCACAAACCCAATTAAATTGAAAAAAATAAAATCATCCTTGATAATGGCTAAAAGTATAGCCAAAAGCACTTGGAATTATAGAACGTTTGGACAGTTTCTTCATACTATATCCAAAAAAGAAAACACTTGTTCAAACACAAGAAAATTTAAATAAAAATAAATCGTAGTACTGTGTCTGTTGTTTTTAAGGAAACATGCATAAATGAAGGATTGCTGCCTAAATACACAATATATATACACTATATATATATATATATATATATATTGGACTTGGAGCTTAAGCACTTGACGATTGGTTTCATATTGTGTTAATATTCTTGTTTTTTTTTTTGTTTTTTGTTTTTTTTATTTCCAATTTTTTTCCTCAGGTACCGATTTGTTCTATTACAAGTTGAGCTATCCAAGGTTTTCCAAATGAGTATTACTATATATATATATATATATGTGGGTATGTAATTGTGTTGAAAATAGGGTTTTCATAAGTGGCAACAAGTCATTGCAAATAATGGGGAATATATAATTGAATCAAATTTAATTGTACTTCATTTTTCAAAGAATAAAATTGATAAACAAAAATAGAAATTTTTTATGACTCAATCTAATATAAGAATAACAAAATAGAAAAACTCCTCTGTACTTCATTTCATCCTTTGATAAGACTTCTTCAAACTAATAATGGTTTTATTGATGAAAACTTGTACATGTAGTGAAATACAACAAATGCCAGTTACAATTCTACATCAAGAAACCCTGAAGATACACGGCTGCTTAAAATTGAATGTTTGACATAGATGTAGCTAGACCCAGGTAATCCTTTTGTATATAGCAGGCTATGTTATAGAGGAGGAAATATTTAATAATATTAGTTTTTATTTTTAAGAATATGAAAATTTTTGAAAAATTGTGATAATTGAAAAATTCCAATGGATACCAGATATTTTTTATTTTCAATTTCCCCCCTTTTTACATATATTTAATTGGTTAACTCCCCTAATTATCCTGTTAATTAATTTTGTGTTCTTGTTAATGTAAATTGATTTTAATTTTTTAAACTGTTTACAGGTAATATCTATTATTGTATCATAGCAAAATAAGTATTTTCTTTATTTTCTGTGAAACAAATTGTACATGTAACAAAAATCACAAATTTTGTAAAAATTATCAAAATTATTGTTTCTCTGAAATTCACATTTTTTTGTAAAGTATTTTCAGACATTTTTGATACATGGTTTTGTAAAATGCTGAAATTGCTTTCTGATTGTATTATACAATTATATTTTCTGTAATTAATTGGCATAAAAAAATTAACTCATTATTTTTGCAATATCATTTAAAAATGTCTAATTTATGGCAAAATAAAGTGATTTTTGTGCATTTAGTTATTTTATGGTACTTTTGTTTCATTATGGAAATAAGTCAGTAATTGTAAGATGATTCTTAAAATTATATATAGTTACTAATTAACTAATTAATGAACATTACTAACAAATTCCTTGCTAAAAATGTTCTCAGTAATTGTTATTTAGTAGTAATTTAAATCTCCACATGTCTGCCCCCAGATTCATTACAATGAATACATTGAGTGTTTTGTTTTGTAAAAGATCCCTTTTGTGTTCATATATTCTTTTATTAAAATTGCTAGATGTTTTACCTGTATACAGTGCTGGATCTTCTATGAAACTAATGAAGCTTAAGCTTCAGGGACCCTAACCCCAGAAGGACCCCTGAGCAACTTTTTTTAATGAGTGAATTTTTCAACAAAAATCAATGATTTTTTTTGATTTTTTTAAATTTCTTTTTAAGTGTATGTTAAGATAAGACCATTTTATTAATTGAACCATAAGCCAATTGGCTGAAGCAGCCTTACAATATGCTCTAATACCCATTTCATATGGCCTCAAAATTCCTTGTAATTGGTCAAATTTCAAAATTTCCTTGAGGTCTTACAGTACTTGAACCCTCAACTGTATGGGATCATTGAACTCGCCAGAATGTATTCATAGCCTACAGTTTGGCAGTTGGATCCTTGTTGGAGTCTGTTCAAGATTCAAGGCCTCAAAAATGTAGGTCATCCATTGCTTGTGTATTTTTTTTTTTTTTTTTTTTTTGAACATTTTCAGTCTGTTTTGTAAATTCATACTTCAAGTTCTAAGTTATTATTTTGTTTTTATTAATTAATTTTCTTATTGTCTTTGAAGAAGCTGAAACCAATTTTATGTGCTAGATTTTGTTGGGAAAAATTGTCTAGCATGACAGTGAAAGCAGTATCAGTAATATTATACAAAAGGGTACACAGTGATGGAGGTCCTCCACACAGTAAGGAGGTAAAGTATTAAAGGGAGTAAATTATTTTATGCTAATGCATTTATGTGAATTTTCAACCTTAGTTTGGGGTAACAGTGACTGGTTCATGGATTGGAAAAAACTCATAAATGAAAAGGAACAATTTCTTTTTATATAATTTGCAATAAAAGATTTTTTTCCTGGACAATTTGTATGATGGAAAGTGAAACAGTATCAAGTGCTGGAAGTGTGTACAGTGAATGATTTATGTTGTAAGAATTAGCACACTAAAATTACTTCATATTATAATGGGAGGAGTTATAGAAGAAAAATTTATTCTTACATTTGTATTTCCCCCATTATGGGCATTATTATATCCATGATATAATAACATCATATTTTGCAGATGGAACAGAATTGCTGAAAGGAAAAAGAATGACAAACATGCTTTGTTTTTAAGACTTGCATAAAACTATATATACATATTTACATGTGTCCCACACAAAGAGAATATAACATATCTACACAGCAAGCAGAGTGAAAGGAGAACGAAAAAAAAGGGTCTTACATATCATATGGAGATTCTTCTGTGTTTCTGGAGAAGACATGTTTAGGACTCCAGATTCAAATGGGCTGGATTCATCTACTATGTCCCATGCAAGGACATATTTCGCAAACACGAAATGGCAAGTCTTGGTTCTTCCCAAATTGAAGACTGTGAAGTCAGAGACAGTTTCTTTCTCAGAGACAGATATATTCCCAAAGGGAAACAGTGCCATTGACTTGTAAGCTGCAGGGGGAAGCAGATTTTGCCTCAGCCCAAGCCAAGAGGCCTGAGCCAAACAAATGACTGCTGTAAATGGTTTCTGATTTTGTCACTGCATGGAGTAACATCATTAAGTGGTTGTCACATGATCCATGTGACTTCATCTCAAACAAAGGGAGATAAATGCCTTTTGTATCTTTACAAAATCATTTTCAGATGGCGGATGGCAACAGACTGGAGGAGTGCTGAAAAGTTTTTGACACAACCAAGAAAGGATTCTAAAAATTCTTAGGTTTAGTCATTTGGTTAAATTTTGTAAAATGGGTTGGATATTTTTCTTTGGTACCCATTTGGTTTTCAGTTCTATCACATATTACTTGGACAATTCCTTCTTTGAACACGTGCATATTAGCACAGAAGAACAAACAAAACACTAGTGCTGGTGAGGCAAAAGGAAAAGAAGACAAGAATTGTAAATATAAAATTCATTTGAATTGCTGATACATTGGATGTGAGCAGAATGTTGGCAAAGGAGGTGGCTTGGAAGGAAGAGTATAGTTGGTAAGGCCTGGAGGTGAGGCATTTATTGGGTCGGTTGACCAATGTCACAGTAGGGGCATTGAGAAAGGCCTGAAGTGTATTCCACGTGCCATGTTTGATGGATGTCAGTTATCTCCTGCTAATTTTCCCTCTGAAAGTTCTCCACTGCCTTAACCGGGTATTGAACTCACCTTCTTTGGGTCTGTCACTGGATCTAACCAACGCCTTTATCCACTGTGCCATGTGTCCTTGAGAACTAGAACAGTCTACCCCAGTGATCGAAATAAAGTGTTCAGTTCAAAATTCCAACCACTTGAAGGAGGCCGGAACGTACAACGGCCGGAAAGTTGTGACAAATATGGCGACAAAGATGAGGACAATAGTCCAACTAATGTAAATACTGTACATAATACCTCATCTCAGAAATATAGACAGACTCTGAAGTTCACATTAGTATGGTCCTAGGGATTGTGAGCAATGATAGTTATGTCATGCAAACCCTGCTTCTACCCTGCTGTCTCTTTGTCAATCCTACTACCTACATCAATGTATTAGATGTAGTGATGGAGCCCTTGGACAAGGAAATGGCTATACATGTCCCAGCAGGAGTTTACTCTCTTCCTCATGATATAGGAATGGCTAGCCGAGAATTTTTGTGATCATGTTACCCCAAATATGTGGCTTCCTAGCAGGGTCAAATTATGACCTTTCGAGGCCCTTGACTAATGAAATTATGAGCCCTACTTCAGACAAAGCCACCTTCTAAGTTAACCACACTGGTCATGAATATTTCTTTTTACTCATGATATATTTTATTGACATTTACATAGTTTGAAGTAAACTTATTGCAAGTTTTTTAAATAAATGAGAATTAGTTATCTTTGTTTGTCAATAAAAATATTGGTTAAGAAATATGACTATTTGATTATTTATTGCAAACCAACTTAGCATGTTTTAATACAATCACTGTAAAAAAACAGATTTTTTATAAGCAGCAGCATTATAACAATCAAAATAAAAATGAGTGTCATATTGATATCATTTCAGTTTATGAAACTATTTAGATGTTATATCATGTAGAAAATTAAAATCACTGCTTTATAAAAATTTCTAAGATTTAAACATTCTGAACTAAAATCAAGCATTATCAAGTTGAAACACAATGACATGAACTAAAAGTCTTTTCTTTGCTTTGCTTCCTAAAAAGTCAAATAAATGTGTTTGTTATATTGATATCATTTCAGTATATGAAACTATTTTGAAGTTATAGCATCTAGAAAATTAAAAACATTGCTTTATAAAAGCATGAGGGGCCGTAAGCTGCAGCCTATACTAGCCTAAAGGATAATCAAGCCCTACCTCATATCTATCCTGAAATGAATTTCCCACACTGATACAGCTAGGGTATTGTAGCAAACAAGACCAACCAGTGACCCCACAATACTAAGTACTTGATGAAAGTCTGCCATCAGTGATGTGATAGCCAACATGAACAATGAACCACCTGAACCCAAGATCACTGGTAGGTTTATTGAATAACATTTTCTGATTTTTTTTTTTTCCAGTTGAATGCATATTATATACCTTGTTATTCAGATTAGCATGCTTATCTGGGTTCTTGCATTCACAAAGTTTCAGCTGTTTTACCCTGTGGCTCTCTTCAAGTATCTGTTTTCATACTTGGCAACCTTCTTGAGATTTTGAACCAAACCAATTATTCAGTGCATCGAGGCAGATTATTCTCATGCTATTTTCTATGTCATAAGACACATGACCTAGTGGATTCAAGTGTTGGATTGGGGAGTTTAGTCTCTGGGCCTGGTCATGCTGAAAAGTTACATACTCTGGTTCAGTGGAACAAACACAAACATAAATGACTGGTGAATATTAACTGATGAGTTATCTCCCCTAAACATAGAAATCAAAATGTGAACAATCCACCCAATGAATTGAATAAAGGGTTCAGTCTTAAATTCTGAGATTATGGAAAACAATGAGTCACCTGAAGAAGGCTGCAGGATACAATAGTTGAAACATTGTGAGTACAACAACCAAGATCAACACACTCCCCAAATAGTAAGACATATAATTCCTCACCTGAGAAATTTTCTCATAAACTGTACATATAGACTTTTTTTTTTTTTTTACTGAATATGTTTGTCTTTTTTTTATAATTCCTTCTCAATTACTTGACATATTCTGAATTTATCCATTTCTTTAGTTGGATCTTCTCTTATCAATAAAGCTTGTTAACAAGTTATTACTTAACAATCCTTTACTTCTTTTCAATTTCTGCCACTCAATCTGAACAATTTACATCTACCAAATAGATAAGGAAGGTCAGAGACAGAAATTGCATTATAGTATCTGACAGGTTTGTATGAAGAACTGTAAGTAGGGTAATGTAAGAATTTATTAGTCTCATCTGGCATAATTTACAGTCATAAGGCACTTCATGCAGATCAAACTCTACTACTTATTTTATAAACAGATTAATTTCTATGGCAAGTACATTGAATTTAAACTTATCTAGTATGTGGCAATAATCATCAGTAGCCAAGTGAACATCAAACCATATCAGATCATTTTTTAACCCTAAGTCAACAGCAGTTGAACAGTAAAATTTTATTAAGCTTAACTTAGTGAAGATCAAATATATGACACTAGCAATAGTCTGTGAGATAAACTTGCTAACCATTCTGCAACAGGCAGCCTAGCAATTTGAGTTATTTTTTCCTAGACATCATCTCTCCATTGTATAAAGTATACCAGATGTTTGCAGTAAATATTGAAGTAACTAATTTGTGTTCTGCTTGTTTGCAAAAAAAAAAAAAAGAAAAAAAAAAAAAAAAAAAAAAGATATCCTAAAAGTAACCACTATTTGGTGGGCAAGATAGCTACATAGTTTGCCGTGGAGACAATGGCGAAGATTCAAGATTTCAAAAGGTAGACAGGTGGTCATTTTGTAACCCTTTGTCTGTCACTCAAGTGTTTGAAAGGACTAATCAAAAACTTTCCTTAGATCAAAACATGTCTATTTTATTTTTAGCTTTCTCTCATACTTAGCCTTCAGTATTATAGCTTTGCTTTAACAAACTTTTTATAGATGTAGATTTTGTAGTTGAAAAATATTCAATTTTTTCTTATTGTAATCACATTTCTTTTTGATGGTCCTTACTATGCTGAGAAAAAATTTATAGCTTCCAATTGTGGAAGTAGTCAAAATTTTTAAAAATGTTTACAAAGACAAAAAAAAGGAAAGTGGTGTATAAAATGACTGATCTTAATTTGACATGCAGTGACCATGGTCTAAAGCAGGGGTTGGCAACCTTTTTGCTGACTATGTGCTGACTTAGGGTTTTAAAATCATTCAGTGTGCCAACAGCATACATATTTTTATACAAATCAAGGTCAATATAGCTGCTCTACAATATATTTTATATAGTAATATATACAATATGTAAACCACATTAATAGAAATAAACTGTTTTTAAATTTTTTTTTAATGTTTTTATTATTAATGGGACTCCAACGAGTGAGTAGTTTTGAAACAGCTATCTTCTTTGCATTGTCATAGTTATTGGTCCAAAATGTGATGTCATTTGCAGCTGCGTGCCTTTGAAAATTGCTTGGTGTGCCATGTGTGGCACGCATACCATAGGTTGCCAACCTCTGGTTTAAAGATATACTTCTCTCAATTAAAAAAAAAAAAAAAAAGGCAAGAAAACAAAAATACACCTTAATATTTACAGGAACTTTATTAATTCTCATCATCAGGATGTTGACTTATCATTTTTCATGATTTTTTTCTTCTTTCCTTCACTTTTTGCCATCTTTTAAAGGGGTCTTCTCTTCCATTATCTCTATATTTCTTTAAGTCCTCTCCAGTGCTGATGCCCAAACTGTAATCTAAGACAGCAGAGAAGATGACCAATGACATCACAGAGAGATTTGAAGATGGGGAACAGATTTCATGTGCGCTGCCATCAGAAAGTGAAAGAACTTAGAATAAAAAGTCTATTTTCTTCTTTCTTGATCCAGCGCAGTAGTTTGTTAATGGCCTGAATTGCTATCGTCTTTGTCACAAGAGGACCAAATACAGCATAGAGCTCAAATCCCTGGGTAATCTGAAGAAAAATAAAAGAAAACAGAAATGGACAAATTATTAATAAAAAACAACAATGAGGAAGATGAAAATGGATGTATTCAATATCCTCATCATCACCACCATCAGGAATACAGTCCCTGTCCTTTAATAATCCTATTTAAGTGAAGAAAAGAAAAAGCTGGAAATGTATTGTAGTAATACTAGTGGTGATAGAAGCTAAGTTTGACATTATTATTATTAAAGCTTTCAGGTTGGAATGAAAGTTCTGTCCAATTGTTGAGGTGGAAATGTTAAACAAAATTGGTAGGTTAAGCATTTCTACCTGAATTTATAGTCAAACTAATGTCTTCATCTTTGTTATTATCACAAAGTTTTGGCCGTGTTGGAATGTCAAACTATGCCCTTTATTTAATCGATGGGAATAGAGTGTTCTCATTTTGCTGTTCATTTCTTGGCTATGACAACTTCCTCAGTAGGTTTAGCATAGATATAAATACCATATGAAAGCCATGACAAAAGAAAGCAAGCAAAGCTGTGATGAAGAGTGCCAAGCTTAACAGTAAATCTGCAGCAGCAAAGGAGGCAATAAGAAAATTGTTTAAGGTTCTGAGTCCTAGCTTCAGGATGAAAGGGCTGGTTTATGAATTTGTTGGCATAGTAATTCAGAGTTCTGTGGACAGTGGAATGGGAACAATCTATCCCCATAAATTAAATAAAGGGTTCAGTCTGAAATTCCCTGAAGGTTACTCAAATTGATTGTCACCTGATGAAGGCTGAAAGGTACAGTGGCCGAAATGTTGTGATAATAAAAAATATGAAAACATTTGTTCAAATGTAAATAAAGGTTAAGCATTATTAGTTCTTTTATCCTTTCTTCTATTTAATAATAATAGTATGAGAAATGTAACAGCTATTGCTATAACTATTAATACTATTATCATATATACTTTTTCTCTCAATATTCTCCTCTAAAAATAACAATAGAAAAAAAAGATCTATCAATGCTGTAGAAGGAACAAGCTTGTTCATTTGTTATCTTAATATTTTCATATCAGTTCTTGTACAATCACCAAAAGTAAGCAATATTGAGCCTGGTCAGTGCCTAGATGGGTGACTGCTTGGGAATACCAGATGATGTAAGCTTGGATGTGCAAGTGGTGTAATAAATAACAGCTCAACATTGGTAATTGATGAGCCATGTCCCAATTCCAGTTGGGTTTGTTATATTCAGTAATTATAATTTTATGTGCATAAATTCATTGGAAAATGTAGGAATCCACTTCTTTCTCCTTCAGCTAATTAATAAGTTAATTAATAGGACTTGTATCAGTAAATCATTAATATTTTCGAAAAATTCTTACAATCTAAAAATATTTTCTGGCTTTAAGTAACCTGCAAAAGATTGATAAGCCATAAAAAACTAATTAATTAATATTTTTATTCAGAAAAATATAAAGAATCTTTGAGACTTAATATATGAAATGGATTTAACAAATTGGTCTGTTTCTTAGAAAGAAACTATCTGGAATAAAATTATCCTTCAGCATTTCATAAAAAATATTTAAATGTCCTACAAAAAAAAAAATCACAAAGATAATAAAACCCACGTCTCTTGAACACTTTCAACATCAGTAACAAAAATGGGTAGCTTATGTAACTAGAAGAGAAAATAATAACATAATGAAGATTTTAGCTTTCCACACTACCTTAAACAAAAGGTTAGGAAGGAAACTCACATCAGTATTTGTAAGAGTGATATTGGCAGACCTGAGAAGTCTTATTTCCTGAAAAACTGTTTTAATAGTTTTTTTTTTTTTAAATTTCAACTGCCATGGTTTGGTTAATGAATGCTAAATATCTCCTGTGTAAACATTTTTACCATTAACCCAAAATTTCAGCTGATACATTAAAAAGATGAAAAGAAAAACAGTACAAAAGTTCAAGAAAGATCACCAGAGGCCTGTAAGAAGGATGGAGCTGAAACATTGTACATTGTATTAATAATAAAAAAAAAAAATATTAAAAAATACATACAATGTAAACAATTGCCTTTTGTGTAAATTTATTGTTTTTTTTTTTTTTTCACTTCTAGACAGTCAAATTTCAAATAATAAATTAACACCCTTGTCTTATAATTATCATTGCTTTTGGAAACATGGTATAACCATAAACTAGTATTCAAACCATTTTACACTTTTTAATTGACAAGATTTAGCAATCAAAAGTCTTGGTACTCTCTCTGGGATAAGAGGTCACCTAATGATATCAATCTTTTCAATTTCTTTCTGACCATGTAAGAATCATTTTTTATACATGTACATCCAGTTAGTCTTGTGCATTTATAATTATGACTTAACCCATTCCCTGCCAATTATTTTGTGAAAAATGTTTCATTTTCAGACAAATTTTTTAATTTGTTTTTAATACAGTAACTAGGAAACTGAGGCACCTTGAAGTACCCGAGAAGTGGCTAACACCTCTAACAGACATATGAGTTTACAATTGGACTCATTTCAAGCTCAGAAGGACATAAAAAGAATCAAGATCAACATATAAACATGTCTGTAGCTGCTTTTTGAGTGTCATGTTTTGGACGTGTTTATTTGTCAGCGTCTGAAAAAAAAAATTTCGATAAAAAAATATATACACATCTACGCCAGGGAAGGAGTTAAATATTGACTGTGCATGACTAGGAATTTTATTTTTCTTATTAAAAAAATTTACTAAAATCTTTTGTTCAGCATTTTCTATTGTCATTTAAAATAATCTGCCTTACTGCAAAATATAATTTTACTTAATGTTTGCTTGTATATTTACTATTAATGTTTTTCTTGCATCTTACTTTGGCATCCACTGCTGGTTATAAATACTATATCTGTTGAGTTCATAAAGTTCATTATTGAATTTTAAGTTTTCCCCTATTGCATCCTTAAAGGCTTGATTTCTTGGAGTCAGAACAAAATAATCACATTCATCAAATGTTAAATTTACATTTTTCTTGGTTCTCTTGTAATGAAGATTTACATTCAGAAATTGTCCGTCTAATAACTATAAGTTACTTTACTTAACCCTCTTCAGCTCTTAACATATTTGTCTTTCTTAATATTTGTCTAAAGGCATCAGAAACACACTTGAGGCAATGTAATATTACACATTTCAATTAATTGATATTTATCAATTAATTTTGGTTTTCACTTTATTTTTAAATTAAAAACACATCCCCCATAAATGATTTTTACAGTAGCACTAATTTAAATGCCCATTTTATAATTTCTTTTAATTTTTGAGAATTTTAAAAATAAAACTTAACTGTAATTTTACTTTACCACAAAAGCATTTATTGAGCTGCTTCCACTTTCTTTTAAAAGGAACCAATCACAACTTTTATAATGTCAGATATTTTCCTAATCAATACAACAACTTTATATATTCCTTCTCAAGTGCTAAGAAAAGAAATAATGTCAAGTAAGTAACTCACCCATCCTATTAAGGTTTCGTGTGGCCCTACATGGTAGAGCAATTTGAGAGGCCGGCATCCACTATGGATGCGATGGTGCAAATATTGGTAAAGGCCAAATAATCGTTCCTGTTCATCTTGGCTAAGGTAAGGAGCCTCCAGTTCAGGACTTGTGTATTGTGCCGAGTTACGAGACTTGTACAGGAAATGCCGCAGACCAGAAATAGCACACTGTTTTATACTGTAACTGTTCCGCGATAAGGAATCACTGATCGCCTGTAAACTGTTAGACTTATGCAATTTCTGGAAAAAAAAAAAGAGAATAAATTATGTTAGAGGAATTAGTCAGAAATTTGAACTCTAGTTGGGTGGTTTCTGCTGTTCTTTGTACCTAGTCATTTCATGGGTGATTATGATTCTCTACAACATCCTATCTTTTGTAGCTCTTAACAAATACAAGGCATCACGGAAATACAACAAACACAGGTTATAATTTTAGATAAAAAAATGTTAAAGATACACAGGGCACTTAGCTTTAAATGTTAAAATTTTTTTGGTGTCTGGTATATCTAGATGCATAATCTAGCAGAAACTCATTCTGCTTTCTAATGCTTTTTTTATCACGTTAAAAAAAAAAAAAAAAAATACAGACATCAAAAAAATATTTTTTAATTTTTTTTTTTTTTGTGTTTTTAATCATTTTGCTCCAAGCAAGGTGGGAATGCCACTAGCTACAGGGAGTGAAAGTGAAAGAAAATACTGAGTATAGGGAGGATAGAGGAAAGAATAAAATATGAACAGGATTCATAAAGGTAGATGATGGCAATTGACGTTGCATTAAAATTTTTGAAGATTGTCTTTATCAGGGAAGCAAGAAAATAGAAGGGAGTTCCACAGGGAGGAAGTGTGAGAAAAGAAATTGTTAGAGTAGATGTGGCAGTTACATTTAGCTATTTCAACAGTAAACAGGTGGGACCTACATGCCAATTTAGTGGCATGCTTAAATACATGCAGTCGAGACACCAGGGAAAAAAAGATCCTCAGAGCAGTTGCCATGAAAATATTTGTAGAAAAAACATCACATCAGTGAGAAAGTGACTGAAGTTGAGATGCCAGGTCAGAATCAATTATATTACAGATCCTTCTTTGAATTTTCTCAAGAACCTTAAGATTAATAGCAGGAGCACCAGACCAGATATGGCAGTGGTATTCAATGCACAGGCAAATGGTAGATTTAAATTTGGAGCTAAGTGTCCTTGTATATTCAGCATATTTTTATGTAAAATTTTAACTGTCAGTTGTTGTATTTTTTCCCCCAATCCCCCAAATACATAAAGACTGACTCCATTAATAAAAACCACTGTAAAAAAAATTTATTCTTGGAAGAAAATGCATTATTTAGGACTTTTCTCTATTTTTATCAATTGATCATTTACTACTAGTCTGATATACAAATCTTATTCAGATTTCATTCAAAAGTGTCTTTGAAGCTGACTGGGAGGGGATCACTCCTGGTTGGGTCACCCAGGAGAAGGTATCTGATGATTTTAGTGGCCTAAGACCCATAATGATACAAGGAATAAATATCACTGATGGATATAAGCACTGTAGCAGCTCAGATTGAGGAATTAAAGAGCTGAGTCCAAATTCCAGTCAAATCCATTACATCCACATGTGCTAACACCCTTGGGAAAGGTATGAATCCTCTTCTTCTCTCCCCAGCTATTGGTAAATAGCAAAACAGACCAGGTTCTATAGCCTAGGATGGCAACTGATCTACCGCAAAAAGAAATGGCAACCTGCTGCAGGAAAAATCTGCCTCGTCAGTCATGTATCAAAAGATACATGATCGCCTAAGTGTGTATCACACATGGCACATAACTGATTAGAAATAAATAAATACATACCTAGTTATATATTCCTCTATTAAAGTAATTTCTGAAAATTTCTCCTGTTTTGGCATAGAAATTTGCCAAAAGTGCCTTAAATTTTGTAAATTTTTTTTTTTTTGGAATACTTGCTGCTTACCTTCAAAAATTTGAATCTCAAATTGCAAACAAAAGAAATTAAAAAGAAAAAATATAAAATTTTTCATTTTTCTCCTTAATTTAAAAAATATGTATTATGTGGAAAAATTACCCAAAATACAAATTTAATAGTCTTATCCTACTTTTTCAATAGATTATTTTTTAATTAAACATAATATTTGTCATTTATACATTCAAATCAATTTTGTGACAATATTTAACTGAGTAAGGACTACCCAACATCACCCAGGATTTTATAGGAAAAAAGACGGCAAATATACTTTTTAAAAAATACTAGAAGCTGAATAGTGAATACACATTAGAATACCATAAAAAGAACAAAAGGAGAATATTTTCACACAATTGGTATCAGTTGGTGTCCTAAATAGTACATTCAAGTAAAATATGACATTGGTTACAGGATTAAAAATTTATCCTCTGATTGAAAAGAATTAAGACAAAATAATTTACTATTTTCTTTTATTTTTACCAATTTTAGTAGACATACAGTGTGGTGCATAATTATAAGGTCAGTTGAATTTTATCTTTAAACTTTAGCAATTGAGATAATTTCTTAATATTTTGTATATTATTATACAGTATTAATAATCCAAAAGTTTTAAATAATTTAAATTTTATGAATTATTATTAATAAAAACTCACCAGCATTTGAGCATTTTAAAAAAAAAATTGATAATAAACTATGCCTTTGGGTACAAAATTAAGTGAATTTGAGCGTAAAAAGGTCAAATAATACCCAACTCAAAAATGAAAATTTGAAAAGGTAATAGAAAAATGAAAATTTGAGTAATAGAGGATTAAGCATTCAAAAAAACATTCAAAATGGTTATTAACAACTTTTTATCAAACACAGAAGAATATGGAGCCAGGAAAAAGCCAGAAGAAGCAAGAAATTAATGACAGGGATATGTCAGAGCAATCAAAAAAAGAAGCAAGCATTGTCGTCACATTGTGTTCCAAGATCCAGACAACTCTGGAATTGAGTGTTTCATGCTGGACGCTTTGGAGAGAATTTAAAAGACCATCCGAGTTCAGTTATGGCAAGCTTATAAAGGCTCCATGTTTGACTGAGCACCATATGTCAGGGTGCTTCAATTGGGCCAAAGCTCATATGACTTGGGACAAGCAATGGGAAGGTGTGGCATTTTCAGATGAAAAAAAATTTAATTTGGGTGGTCTGGATGGTTTATCTTATTATTGGTATGACCTTAGAAAGTTAGTCTTTTCCAAATGTGTGCAAGGAGAAGGGAGTGTTATGATTTGGGTGGCATTCAGATTCAAAGGCAAAACTCCAATTGTTTTCACTGACACAAGACTTGATTTCTTTGAGTTATCAAAATTTGTTGTCTACTGCTCTCTTGCCTTATGGGAAAAAAATTGATGGTCGAAATTGGGTGTTTCAGTAAGACAACACTCCTGTTCACAAAGCTAAGTCCACTATAGAGTGGTTTCAAGCTAACCGAATCAATGTTATGGATTGGCCCACCAGATCACCCGATCTCAATCCTATCGAGAACGTTTGGAGGATATTGGTTAGATGAGTCTACAAGAATGGGAATCAATTTAATAACAAAGAAGAGCTCAAAAGTGAAATTTTGAAAGCCTGGGATTCAATTAACCAAAATGACACCCAGAAGTTAATCTAGGCTATAAAAAATGGAGTGATTCAATTAATAGAAAACAAACTAAATATTAATTTCTATAAATTTTTAGTGTTTGTCACTCTTGTAATAAAAATTTTATAATAACCTTATAATTATGTACCAATCGTTTTTTGAGTTTTTGAATAATTTTACAATGACCGATTTTCTACTCATAGTAATTATTTGAAACTTTCAGATTATTAATACTATATAATAATATACAAAATATTAAAAAATTAGCTCAACTGCTAAAGTTTAAAGATGAAATTCAGCTAGCCTTATAATTATGCATCACACTGTATATGGGAATGTTGCAGACCTCATGAAAGGTCCACCAATCTAACAACTATCCAACTCTGAAACATAAGTGGATAGATATAATCAGGCAACAAATCCAGCCCCTCACATGGCACTTAGCATAATGTAGAAGCAACATGTTATTAAGCAGTTATATTTATTTTGAAGGCACTATAAATGTGATGTATAAAAAGAGGAAAAAATCAATCCAACACCATTAACTAGTAAAGAAATTAATTACAAAACATAGTGGAAAAATAAGAAAAATGGTAGTCAGTTGCTGAAATCTCCTGACAAGTGGACTGAACAATTACAAAAAGGTTCATCTACCAAACTCAGGTAGTGCTGAATATAACATCAATCCACTAAGTGACATTTTTTTTTCTTATTAATCCTTTATATAGAAAATAAAATTTGTCACTTAGCTGATTGATGTTAAATTCAGCATATCTACTCCAGTTTCATAAACAAATATTTGTGTAATTGTTTGGTCCACTGGTCAAAAGGTGTCTGTTAATTTTCTCATTTTCATTATTTATGTGTGTGTGTGCATATATGTTCAAAAAACAATAAATAAAATACAGTTATAAACCTAACCTTCCATAATTAACATCCTAATAAGATAACACCAAGCAAGGTAAATAACAAACCATTAACTACTAAATAAGAAAAATGAAATAATGGGCAAGCAAAGACATATAAACGAATATTTCCTTTGCCATTCAATCATTAATTAAAAAAATAAATAGCCCCCAAAAAATAAATATACTTTTATTTTCCAAAAATGTAGAAAACCATAGAATATTCCAGATAATTAACCTAAATATAATCAAATATGGATTGGAATCTGACAGAATGATAGCATAAAGAACAAATAAGAAATGTTTATAAATCTAACGTTTCACTTTTATTAAAGTTTCATCAGAGAATGAGATACAAAGAAAGAAAGAATACTGGAGCTTTGAAAGGACACGTCAATTATCCTTGAGTTGAGAATGCCATAACTTATATTAATGTTGTTTAATAAGTCAAATGCATGTGGAGCCTGTTTAATCAATGGATATCAAACATAAAAATAAAAATACCAGAATTTCTTTCTCCAAATCTCATTCTCTGATGAAACTTTAATAAAAGAGAAACAGATTAGATTTCTAAATGTTTCATATTTGTTCCTTATCATATGGTGTGTGTGTAATTCCTGCAACAGTTATATATTTTCAACCACTGCTAATGACATTTTCAGTTCCTGGTAAAAGGTCAGGATTTTGAATATTAAAGCAGACATTACTTCTGATTTGGACATTTTCTCTTCCTCCTTCCTCTTCAATTGGTTTTGTGCTGAACTAAATTAAGACTAGTAAAGACTAATAAGTCAATAAAGACCAATACATGCCTTTGTAAATTTTGTGGAGAACAAGCTAATGAAATGGTTAGAAGCATAATTTGAAAAGAATTTGGCACAGGGAAATTTCCTACCTGTTTAATTTTACTCTTGCATTCAGATAAAGTGAAAAAGGAATCACGATCAACTGTAAGAAGAAACAAACACGTCTGGCAGCTCTCGTCAAGGTAGGAGACATGAGCCTGAAGGAAACCACTGTAGATAGAAAAATAAAGACATTCATTATTATCTGGAGATGAAAAAAAGTCAGATTTATTTTTCTAATAAAGCATTCTGATCTCTTTTATTCAAAGCAGTTTAACATTTTAAAAAACCTTAAAGTCACAGAATATGAATATTTAAAGAAAGCACAAAAACAAATTTTAAATTAAAAAACACAAGAAAAAATACATAAGGCAGTACCAACTTCTTTTCTTAGTTTACAGCTGAGAGAGAGAGAGAGATCTTGGTCTCAAGAAGTTAGAGATAGTCAGAATAGGCAGACATGAGCCCCCTCAGTGAAATAACACTATTTGGTCAAAAAGTGAATGACAAATAACTTAATTTAACTTCAATCTGTGACTGTGACAATGGGTCCTGCTTGATCAGCTTAGAACATCTGCAAAGGCAAGTGAGTTCTAAATGATTTTATCTGGGCCTTAAGCACTGATTGATTTTATGACAACCAACAATAAAATTAAGATGTGATAGCTTCAAAAGCAACTATCTCCTGTCCACAAGTGGGGAAAAATAAAATGAAGTAAATTTTTTTTTTTAATCAAATTTAACTTAAGCAAGACAGTAAAGCCACTAAGACACAAGGGGGTTAACTGGGTATGAAAGAATTAGAAAACAGAAAACATTATAAAGGATAGAGAACAATAGAAGAGTAATCAGAAAGACAGTAGATATCGATTGACATGGCATTTAAATTTTTGCAGATTAAAGTTGGCTAAAAAGCATGGAACCAGAAGAGTTCAATAAGTAAGAAGTGTGAGAAAAGAAACAGTTAGCATAGAACTTACAGTTACATCTAGCCATTTCAACTGTAAATTGATGTACCTTTCAGAATCAAGTGCCACTTAGCTGTAAGTTAGCAAATTCTCGTCATACATCTATTATATAGTCAGACTGGTTGTTGGAATAGTCAATCAGAAAGATACCTTCTGTTAGCAGGTCATAGGCCAAATGTCATGACGCAGAGATGGATAGTGGAACAGTAGTAAAGAATGGGCAATGACAGAGTGGTCAGAAGGATCATAGGTAGAAGCTGTCAGTAGAGATATAGAGTCAAAGGCAGTGGCTGAAAAGAAGAGCTTGTCTGTTGCAGCAAAAATGTTCCAAGTGTCACCTACCTCCCCCAAGAAGAGCATGCCAGAGGAACCTATAAAGAACCCAAATATGGTGAAAACAGGATTCATGTTTTTTCCCCATTATTTTATTTCACCTTCTTTTCCTTTGTGAACTTACACCAGGCTTTTCCAAGTTTTTATTCACATCAAGAAAAAAAAACATGGGGTAAAACTGTCCAGTCATTGAAACACTGACTGAGAGGGTCACAGGTGTATGTTCACAAATCTAAACAAATTGTGGTGTATTTATCATTTGTGTGTTAAAGTTGTTAAATTCTGGTCTGCAGTTGCTGAAAACTACAGGTAAAAGTTAACTGGTATTACATCACAAAGACAATAAATGTAATATTTTTTAATACAAAGATACTTAAATGCAGACTTTGGCAGTCTCTGCTCAGTGTCAAGTCACTTCCTAAATATAATTATTTACAAGTGTTAATTATTACTAAGCTTAAATATTTTGAATATTATTTAACACCATTAGAATGCTACTATGGCTGACAGAGAAGAGCAGAGACAGGTGAAAGATTCTTTTCTTAAAAAAATAACAACTCTGAAAAGCAACTCTGTAATTAACAGTTAATAGACTGAAATTATCTTGCTTAGAGACATTTTTTGTTTTATTTATTTTTTTCTTCTTTTATACTTGTCTAAAAATTAGTAACACACTTGTGGCTTGATAGAAGTGGAAATTACTTTATATTTCATGTTAGAGTATTTTAACAATATTGTGCTATCAAAAAATCATGCTATGATATGCTATCTTTGCCATGTTACAGTAATAAATACACAAGCTTAGAGAAATCAGATCATGATAATATAGATTACAGAGCAAACAAACAGTAAAAATTTTCAAAAGTAAGGTACAGAGAGATATATAATCAACCAGAATTAAAATATTGTGAAAGCTTTAAACACAGATCAACAAGAGGTATGCAGCAGCCTCAATATTTAGTGCATATGCATGTGATGTATCCATAACATGGTGATTGTCAGCACAGAAAGTGAGATTGGCATGTCAAGTTCAAATCCCAGCCAAAGCTGTTGCATTTGCTTTAGCACAAATACCCTTATAGAAGTATGATATTTAAGTGGCTCTTTAACAGCATATCAACTCTTTAGTCCTTCGAGAGGTATGAATCCATCTCATTTCCCAGGTAAGGGTTAAATAGCAGGACAGACTGGGGAGCAATCAGTCTAGGATAAAGAAAAAAAACTGAATTCAAAACCAGCCTGAAGAGTGATGTGCTCCATCCAGCTATCTCACCCTAGACACACCACTGATAGTTACAGTATGTGGCGCTGCTACATTCCTAATGGATTACAAGATTTGTGACAATTGCATATGATGTTGCAACAAACTGCAACTATAAAACAAAAGAAAAACATAGGTGCAAAGTGTAAGAAGATTTTTTTTTATATACCAAGAAAAAGCAATTGACTGAAGAACACAAGTTTTAGTACATGCACATTTCTTTTTAGCTTTTAGAATGGTAGATGGAAGCTGATGGACACTTTTTGACTATAGTTGTACAAGTCAATTATTATTTCATGATTTCTGAATTTCCAACAGCCTGAGTGGATTAAAGCATTAGTTTATGAATTTGGTGACAGTCATTGTGAGTTCAATCCCTGGGTCAAGAAGGGCAGAGAGCCTCAGTGGAAATGGGATGAACAATAACTAAGCAGTACTAAAAAAACAAAACATGATATGATATCCCTAGATATGGACAGCAGAATGAGAACAATTTACCTCCAGAGATTAAATAAAGAGTTCAGTTTGAAATTCCCTGAAAATTTTCCACTTCAAGAAATGTCTGATAGGGCCAGGATCCTAAACAACCAAAACACTGCGATAATAACAACAAAGATGAGGACAATTGTCCAAATGTAAATAATATAGATGTGCAAACTTCTTGGGAATTCTAGATTCATTTTTGTACAGTATTTACATTAGTCGGACTATTGTCCTCATCTTTGTTGCCATATTTGTCCCAACGTTTCGGCTGTTGTACGCTCCGGCCTTCTTCAGGTGGTTGGAATTTCGAACTGAACCCTTTATTTCGATCAATGGGGGTAGACTGTTCTAGTTCCACGTGCCATGTTTGATGGATGTCGGTTATCAGTTATCTCCCGCTAATTTTCCCTCTGAAAGTTCTCCACCGCCAGAATCGGGTATTGAACTCACCTTCTTTGGGTCTGTCACTGATTTAATTAATGGTTTTATCCACTGTGCCATGTGTCCTTGAGGACACATGGCACAGTGGATAAAGGCGGAGAACAGTGGTTAAATATGATTCCAAACTGTGGATATGGCAAAAGGAAACTTCACTTTCTCAAGAATTCATAGTAATTCACAGATAATAAAAAAAATGTGGAGAGGCCTGATTTCTTATGTTGCAAAGAGACATAACATTAAGGAAAAAATTCTCACAAAAATGTGTACAAACATCAATCATATTTATCAGCCTACCACCCAAGGCGCTCATTCAAACTTTGTTGCTGTTCATTTCAATCACCCACCACCAGCAAGTAATAACAGCATATTGCATATAGTTTATGATTTTATATCTTTGGGGGTTTTGCAGGAATATTTTTAAAGATGCATATCTAATTTCCTGAAAAATATAGTATCTGACAATAAAATAAAGTCTTCAGAATACAATGTAGAATCTAAATCTTTAATGGCTAAATCCCAAATCAAACTTTATTGAATGAATGATTTACAAACCCACATTCACATTTTTGTTGTTTTAATCACAATATACTAGCAGTGTTTAGAAAAAGAAGAGAGACTACAAGAAAAACCACAAGAGTTTTAAGAGAATGTTAATTTAGGAACAAATTCCAAGAAAACTGATGTTTTCAAATCAGATATTTTCCTCACTGAAAAACAAAAACAAAACACATACCTTGAATCAAATTTTGGCAAACAAATTGGAGTCCAAGACTCTGCAGCTTTGAAAGACTCAGATGCATTGACAAGGTTGATGATAAGGTGCAAGTCCACAGGATGCAAATAATATTTCTTCATTCGCACTAACGTCACAAGTTGACTGCTGGCAATTATTAAAGCAAACACTAAATCCTGAAAAGAGAAATCATGAAATTTAATATTTACTCTCCAGAGACTGAGGTTTTTATTTTACAACTTTCTTACAGACATTGAAAAATTTTAACAAATCCAAAATTAGTTTATATAATAAAAAGAGTTTATAAAATTTAATAAAGTAAATATTCTCAGAAGATAAAACATCATAGTTACTAGAAAATTAGACCTACATGAAGAAAAGAAAAAGCAAGCAAATATTACAATGCATCCAATGCACTAGTGTCATAATCAGAAAGTTGTCCATTCAAGCTCAAAATGAACAGCTATAGGTCTTAGATGAGTTGCAGCAAGTCTTAGTCAGATATAGCCTTGTAAATTATGCATCTGCTTTTTCAGCAAATATGGTATATACTACACAACAACTTCTACCAAAGAAGGATGTTACCAAATCAGATTTGCAGCTCATTGCTTCTGTTGTGAGAAGAACCCACACTGGGTACTCTACCAGACCAACTCAGTCTTACTAACATCAACAATATTTAGAAAAATATTATGACAAATTAGAAAAAGGTTTTGTTTTTTTTTAGAGTTAGTGGGTAAAATAATATATTTTTTTGATTTGTTGGGTTTGTCAGTTAGGACAGCTCAATACCCATAAAATTTTGAAATCTTGTTCCCCGTTTCTACTTAAACTCTTCAATATAATACCACTCCACTTTAAAAAGTAAAAATTAAATCATTTTCTTCAAAAGTTACTGAATATCGCTTGATAATGGAACAAATTTAAAGTTCTGAAACACAGAAATTTCTGTGTCATGATAAACAAAATATTTTTAAATATAAATATTATATGTTCTACTTTGTATTGAGCACATTTAAAAAAAAATAAATGCTAAAGAACTGTGGATTATTAATCTGACTGTTCTTTCTCTTTATTTGGATTATATATATATATATATATATATATACACACAGTCAATCAATTCTGTCAATAAGTTTATTATAACAATGAATTTGGATAAGACAATTGCCTGCTTCCTGAATTAAAACAAGCATTTGCTGATTTTTAAGAAGCAAATAAAGAGTTAATTAAAAATTGGAGAAGACTTTGGCCTAAGGTATGAAATTACTAAAAGAAAAAAAAAAGATTTATTTTTTTTTTAAAAATCTACTTCCTTATCAATACACTTAATCCAATTAATCGCACAGATTAAACACTATACACTGAAAATTTCATGTCACGTTGCAGACTGATTGATCTCCCCTACTTTCAGAACAAAAGAAAACAAAATAAAATAAGAAAAAAAACAATAAACCAAAATCAAAAAGAAATAACATAAAAATTAAAAGTCATTATGAAAAGTAAAAAGAGAAATATCAAACAGAAAAAGGAGATGAGAAAGAAAATAAAAATCAACAATGTAAAATAAAAACAGTAAATACATAAAAAGAAATGTAGAAGGAAAAAACAGCAAGAAATACTTGGCTAAAAAAGAGAATTGCACATAACTTGGCTGTGAAAATAGCCAACGAAACCAGTGATTTCTGAATAAAGTAGCTAGTGGTACCTGACACCCAAGAAAGATCATGAGTCGTATTTGTCCTTGTGGAGTGAAGAATAAATCTTGAAAAAAAGAATTCTTAATTCCTGGTTTAATAAAAAAAATAAAAATAAATAAAAAATAATAATAATAATTGATGAAAAAAACAAAAAGAAGTAATCCTCTTACCTTAACTTTACAATGTTGACATATCGTTTGTGCAATGGAATCACGGATGGACCCATCCAAAGGAAGGCATCGGACAGCTCCTAGCAAAAATCCTGGCTCACTGTCCATCATATTCAATAAGTTATCAATAAATTTCTCGGCACCACTTAGAAGTCGCCGCAAGTCAAAGTTTCGTCTCTGCCTGAAGATTTTGCTTAGTTGGCTGAGGGTGAGGACACTGATGATTTGGTTGTACACATAGGAGAGTTGTAGGAGAAGCTGGTGCGCAGAGTCCGGGCCCTGGGAAACACCAACCAGGATCAGGTGCTCTCGGATAAGAAACACAAACCGATGATTCCCAGCAACTATACACCGGATTATATCATTCTCAGAATTCGATACAAATGACACAAGTGCCTGCATCAGACCCATCAGGGTCACCAAATTATCTTCATTACCAAACCTAGGATAGAATTTTTTAAAAATTATGCACATTATACAAGTGTGGATTAATAAGTCTCCAGTCTAACTCACAGTTATTAAATGAATTTTGATCTGAAATTTTCACTGTATAATGTTCAATCTATGTGATTAATATTAAGTGCATTGACAAGGAAAAATATTATGTTGATAAATATTTCTTATTTCCGTCCTTAAGCTACAAACTTACTTGTGTGTGTGTGTGTTTGCATGCAAGATGAAGATATGGTTAATCCATATCTTTATATCCGGCAAAATGATTAAATAAGGAACAAGCAAAATTAAAAAAAAAAAAAAAAAAATACACATATATACACTTAATCATCACCATCAGTTCCTTGACTGCTTCAATCATTGGGGAGGGGACCATAAGGTCAGAAGAAACAGACAACCTCCTCCAGGATGATCTGTTGGCAGTGGCTTTCAGGAGTTTTTGTCATTGTCATATCCATCCACTCATCTGACCAGTTTTTGCTTTACCATACCCGCTTGTGTTCACCTTCAACAGTGTCTTGCATGAATGGTCTTGGAGGGGCTGTAACGCCATGTGATATGACCAAATCATGACATCTTCTGACTCTTAATAGTGGGGAGTTGATATTCCTGTTGGCCCAAGACTTTTGAACTTCCCCTGTATATAGTCATTAGTTTTGTGCTCCCAGTAGGAGATGCAGAAGAGCTTTCTCAGGCATTTGTTCTCAAATACCTGGATCCTTCTTTCTACCTCTGCCAAGAGTGTCCACTTACATATATAGGAATTAAATCCTATATATATTTTTCAACCAATAAAATCCAATCATAAAGTTTGTTGGATAAACAATAATTACAAGGGCAAATACTACCAAAATAATTGTGGACATAGTTGTAGACCTACCACACGTTATTTTAAAACCATTTAGAAAATAGCAATAATAACTCAGTTCACCACTCCCAGAAATTCGAGAAAATGATTTTTGCTAGTCAGTGTAAAATTATTTTCTAACCAATGCAAACCTTGTATTAAAAAATTTCAAACTTCTATGTGAAATTAGATTTTGATTCTCCTTACAGATATAAAAATAGAAGCACACAAACATGCACACAATGTTGCTGACTAAACAAAATTGAACATTTTATTGTTATTGTATATTTCTGAAAAGAATATATAAATGTTATTTAAACTGACATTCTGTTTCTACTTTTTTTTCAGAAAATAACATTTTTTTATGTTTCATTTAAAAGATGTGTTGTTGTTAAATGTTTGGAATCCCGTAATTTGGATGTCACCGAAAACCTGGGTAGACAGGTTCCAACACATACATCTAAATACAAACATCAATATAACTTAAATACAAATATACACCTGTTAATATGTAGATATACATTATGATAAAATATTTGTATGTACTTACATTTGTGTGTGTGTGTAAATGTACATACTTATATATGCAGATATGTGAATAATATTTGTGTCCATGTGCATTATATTTGAGAATACGTATTAGATGTGTTTATTTTGTATTTAAATTTTCATTGAGATGTTTGTATATAGTTCCCCCCCATAAATAAATACACTCTCATAACAGTATGATATAAATATCAATATTTAAATTTTACAAGTCAGTTTTCAGTCAGCACTTGACGATTGCATCATGCATGAAATACAGTTATTTTAATGATGAGGAAGAAAATGTATATTTATTATTAGTATAAATTTTAGCTCTGTCATACATCAAGCACTGTTTTATTACCACCAGTACTAAATATGCTATATATATATACACACAAAATAAAGATATAGTTTTAAGGTATGCTATATTTATGTATTAAAGTGCACAAAAACAGGGATAGAGTAAATATAAAAGAGGACATAGAAGTCAACATCCAGCAGAAACAGTCTATTTCATTCTTAAATGCAATATTTATACCTGAATATTACATGTAACAGACTGTCATTGCTGTCCTCAAT